ATGGGTTAGGAAGTGTTCCTTCTGTTTCTGTATTCTGGTAGAGATTGTAGAGAACTGGTGTCATTCCATCTTCAAATGTTTTGTTAAATTCACCAGTTAAACCATATGTGCCTGGTGCTTTATGTTTTGGAAGAATATTAATCCCTGACTCAATTTCTTTGATAAACATAGACTATTCAGGTTATCTATTTCTCCTTATGTGAGTTTTGATAGATGCTATCTTTCAAGGAATTGGTCCATTTCATCCAGGTTATCAAATCTATGGGCATAGAGTTGTTCACAACATTCTTTTGCTATACTTTTAGTGTCCACAGCCTCTCTTACATTTCTGATATTAGTACTTTTTATTCCTTTCTCTTTTTTTCCTTGCTTAGCCTGGCAAAGTGTATCAATTTACAGATCTTTACCGAGAAAGAGCTTTGGTTTTGTTGATTTTTTTCTATTGTTTTCCTATTTTCAATTTCATTTAGTTGATTTCTGCTCTAGCATTACTTCTTTTCTTCTGTTTACTTTTAATTTAATTTGCTCTTCTTCGTCTACTTTCCTAATAAGGTGAAAGCTTATTATTGATTTTAGATCTTTCTTCTTTTTAATATATGCATCCAATGATATAAACTTCTATGCATTGCTTTCAATACAACCCACAAATTTTGAGAAGTTGTATCTTCATTTTTACTTAGTTCAAAATATTTTTTTAATTCTTCTTGAGACCTAAAATAAGGTTTCAGGAAAAAAGAGAAAAGCATTTTGTTCCTCTATAGAAAGACCTACTAATTTGCATATTAAAAAAACCTATAATTTCCTTAGTAAATTATCAGTAGGCTGGAGAGAAGGCTGAGAACTTCAAGAAAAGCCAGTGAGTCTCAAACACCGATACTACATGGTGGGCACAGGTTCATGCCACCCTCCTGCCACCTCTCGTCCACACCCACAAAAGACAACATAAGCCTAGAGACAGCTGCAGCATGAACAGTACTAACTTAGCTATTCTAACAGCTTTCTGAATTATGTAGACAAGAGTCATTCATCTGTGGGGCAGAATCAGTCATAAGAGCTGGTAACAGTCAAATAGCAGAAACAACTAATTTCAACCCATTTGTACGATTTTGGAACGAGCACTGGAATCTTATTCAGTGATACATATAATTCATTTGAATTACACAGAAGGTAAACATAATTTACAGGGGTATATTCTCATTAAATTTGTGATTATATTACATACCTGAGCATAACAAGCTTCTTCTATGGCTAACCCTGTTACTAAATCGACCTGAGGATGAAAACATAATTCATTTCAGCAGAAATAACATTTTAAAGTATGGTACATTCAATACAAATTCAAATTGAATAACACTATCCCCAAAGAATAGAATCTTTGATTCTGTACAATGGATCAGAAGTATTACCCGGATGAGATCTGGAACCAAGCTTCCTGGCTCAAATCCTGACTCCACCACTTGGAATCTGTGTCACCCTGGGAAAGTTACTTAACCTCCCTGTGCTTCAGAGAGGCATATCTGTATTTTTAATTTCAAATTAGAATTTGAAGCAAGGGGCTAATCGTAGCACTCACCATGCAGAGGCACCATGAGGACTGAGGGACTTCGAGGTGAAGCCTACCTTGTTTCAATGCACTTTGCTCTACTGTGCTGCCCAGATACCACACTCTTATAAACTGAAGGCTACAAATTGACAACCCTGCACTGAACAAATCTATGGTTGCCATTTTTTCAACAGTATGTGTGCTCACTTTGTGTCCTATGACACATAATTCTCGTAATGCTTCAGACTTTTTCACTATTATTATTCTGTTATGGTGATCTGTGATCAGTAATACTGACATTAGTATTATAACTCCTTTGGAGCTCTATGAACCGCGCCCACGTGAGACGGCAAACTTTATCACAAGTGCTGTGTGTATTCTCACTGCTCCACTGCCTAGCAGTCCCCACCTCACTCTCTCTCCTTGGGACTCCCTGTTTCCTGAGACACAACAATATTGAAATTAGGCCCGTTAATAATCCTGTAATGGCTTCTACACGTACAAGGGAAAGGAAGACTACATGTCTCTCGTTTTAAATCAAGAGCTAGAAATGATGAAGTTTAGTAAGAAAAGCATGTCAAAAACCAAATTTGAAAGAAGCTGATTCCAACCCTCACAGGTGACTTTCAGGGGTTCAAGACTTTGGTGGAGGAAGTAACTGGAAGCGTGGAAATAGCGAGCAAACTAGCATTAGAAGTGGAGGCTGAAGATGCGACTGCATTACTACAATCTCATGATAAGACTTTAACGGATGCGGTGCTCCTTCTTATGAATGAGCAAAGAAAGTGGTTTCTTGAGATGGAATCTACTCCTGGTGAAGATGCTGTGAACACTGTTGAAATGACAACAAAGGATTTAGATATTACCAAAAGTTAGTTAACAAAGCAGTGGCAGGGTTTGAGAGGACTGACTCAAATTTTGAAACAATTTCCTCTGTCGGTAAAAGGCTATCAAACAGCACTGCATGCTACAGGAAAATCTTTCATGAAATGAAGAGTCGATCAACGAGGCAAACTTCACTGTTGTCTTGTTTTGAGAAATTAGCACAGCCATCCCAACCTTCAGCAAACTTCAGTCAGCAGCCATCAATATCAAGGCAAGACCTTCCATCAGCAAAAAAATCACAACTCAATGAAGGCTCAGATGATTGTTAGCATTTTTCGGCAGTAAGGTATTTTTTAATTGAATATGTACATTGTTTTTTTACACATAATGCTACTGCACACTTAATAGTGTAAACATAACTTTTACATGCATTGGGAAGCCAAAACATTTGTGTGACTCACTTTATTGTGAAAAGCACTTTACTGAGGTTGTCTGGAACAGAACATGCAGTTTCTCTGAGGTAAGCCTGTACATATACTCATATATAAAGAGCCTGTCATACAGTAAGAGCTATATAATGTGTTTGCTATTAGTACTGTTCCTATTATCTAACTAAATAAACCAATCAAATACTTGACAAATTTATAAAACTGCATTTATTGCTAACAAATTCAATCTCTCTTTACTGCTATAAAGCCCAGAAATATATAGTGCCTCCTGGTCTGCAAGGAGGAAGCAGCTTTCTTCAAAATTCTCATAATTTAACCAAATACAACGGCTGTAATTAAAAGTTCAAAGTTAATGGGAGGCTGTACCGCCTCCTTCTTTGCTCCCTGCCCTGGACCAGGGACTCCACTACTTTGAAGTCACTCCCTGGGGCAGGCCCAGGGTGCCCTACAGATTCCACTTGTTTTTGTGTCTCCCTGCAGAAAGCACACTGTGAAGTCAAATGTGGAGACACTTAGCCTCAGCTTTGAGCTAGGAAGTACTCCTTGGAAAGTTCTTTATAATATGACACTGATGCTAGGAATACACAGAATGCCCTTTACTTTTGGTTTTCTATGCATACTAGCCAATAAATCTGTCTACTAACTCAAAGGCAAAAATAACAAGCATGTCCTAAGCTGCAGGGCACTGATGACATTCCTGAATTTTGTGAGTATGATACTGAATCATCAATAATCTTAAAAAGAATGAAATCGGTGATGGAGCTAAAAGGAACCTCAACAGCTTTCAGTAACAGCGGCATTCAAACACCTATATTTTAGAACATTAAAAAACAATGTGGAAGGCTAAACATAGCTCATTTTAATTAAATCTCCACTATCCATTCCAACAACGAACTCGAGCATTAAGAAACTTACCTCCATCCCCTGATTAATTGCTAATTTTGCCACTCTCATTGCAACAGGTCCCTAAAATTCAAATTAAAAAACAGATTTTAGTTCACATGTATGCAAATTACATTGTACTTCTTGGTAAAATGCAGAAATTCCCATTGCTGGACCCGTGGCATAGCCAACAGTGGCTGTGAGATACTAGATGAAAAATTTCTTTGCGGAGCCTTGCAGAGTCTCAGTTAAACAGCAGTGGCAGCGACCTTACTGCATCGGCAAGTTACTCAGATGCCACAGTACGCTGGAATGTGGCCAACGCCAGGCCCTCACAGAGCAGCAGGAGGTGCACCTCCAGGAGAGGGCCGGCCATTCTTCAGCAACTGTCCCTAAGAAGCTAAGTAGGGGAAGAAAACGAGGTCACGTCTTTGGCTCACTCTCACGCTGATGAGGGGTGGGGACAGGAGCTTAGGCTGGAGACGAGGCAGCTGCTACTGCTCTGATTAAGATGGGGTGCGGGTATCATCTGTTTCAGACACTGGATTTCCCTCTGCTTCATTAGCATTGATACCCAACTGCATGACAGTGGATTAATAAAGATGTGTCCTCTGGGCAGTGCTCCCACACCACAAACAAAGTCTAAAGAATTCTTTCAGGATGTATAAAGGGTCACAGAGGGAAGAACTGGGTCTTCTCTGTGAGAAGGAAAACATTACTTTTGCTTTGTGGAAGCCAAACTTGTACCAAACCGTCCCACAGAAAACCACAATCCCCAGGTGGAATACAGTTATTTGATCATGTTTGAAAATCTTAAAATATTTTTTATGGGTAACAAATGGGAATTCAATGGAGTATTTTTAATTCAATGGTCTTTTCAATTAAAACACAGGTAGGCTCTAAATAACAGGCAGAACAAAGGAGAAACAGATGAACGTATGAAAATGCCATTTTTTAGCTAGGGGTTTCTATTATTAACTTCGGCCCATCTAAAATCTAAATTCAATGGTCTTTTCAATTAAAACACAGGTAGGCTCTAAATAACAGGCAGAACAAAGGAGAAACAGATGAATGTATGAAAATGCCATTTTTTAGCTAGGGGTTTCTATTATTAACTTCGGCCCATCTAAAATCTCTTCCTAAGTCACATGCTTAAACATCTTTTCCATACGCCAGTTTTCCAAGGCTACAGAACTTAGACGAGCACCTTAGTTATAATTCTTCCAAAAGTGATCTGCATGTATTGCACACACTAGGACCACTTTTTTCTGGATTGTCAATCCATATTTTTAAATAGTGTGCTCCTCTAAATGAGAGCCTTTTCCATTTTCATCACCAACTGACCCAGACCAGGTGCTTGTCAACCTCCCAGATGCCTGAGTCCATTTGTGAAAATGCAGGTGTGGACTCGGTGGGCCCAGGACACTGCATGTCTAACGTGCTCCCAGGAGATGCTCAGGCTACCGGTCCACAGGCCACATTTGGGATGGCAAGGTTCAGAAAACCATGGTAAAAACAGGAAAAATTATTTATTTATTTATATATTTTTTGGTGGTTGGCCAGCACAGGGATCTGACTCTTCTTCTTTACAAGTTTCTTTTTTCTCAGAGAAATAAAAGTAACATACATATTTTAAAAATCATCTGGAAATACTAATTTTACAGAAGATTTCTAATTATGGAAGAATAATCGTTTGGAAACAAAGTAACAAATTGTAAAATTAATGATTATTCCACTCAAACGTCACTGGCAACTTGTGCACATAGTTTCACAGTCACACATTTCGTGAAGTTGTTCAACATCTCCTCATACATTAGTTTGACCTGGAGAAAAGTTAATTTCAAAATTAATGCTCTCAGAGTAGTGTTCTCCACATGAAAGGTGGTAAGAGCATGGACAGGGGTGGTGACGCAGGCTGGCTGACCACATGGTGGAATGTAGCCCCATGTCACATTGTCGGCGGGAGGGAGCAGACAGGAGGGGATGCTGCACTCTCTCCAGCAGGGTCCCCTGTGGACACTGAGGACGTTCTGTGCACTGAGGATGAGGGAGAGACATCAAGTCAGATGCTAAGGGGCCATGCAGCCCCCGCGAGAAGCCCTATAGCAGGGAACTGAACACTCTTTGTGAGGAAGTACACTGTGCACAAGGGAGTGTGACAACAATGTCTACGTCACCATGAAAATGAACACACACAATAAGATGAATAACTGCTGCTTCTTAAGCAGGTTATCTCACATGAAGTCACTGCAACAAAAGCCCACTCTGGCAAAACAGACGATGTGGTCTCTTACTTAGCAGAGAACAGTGTATTTCAACGTGTTTCTACTTGGGGGTGGTCCAGGGTAACAGCCCACCCACCACTCCTTCCCTCCAGGGACATGGCTTAGGTTAGACTGCTCAGTTGGGGAAGGAATTAAAACATTTCCTAGGAAGTTGTGCCACACATGACTAACACTATTCAAGTGATATATTATCCAAGTGTGGCTAGAGTACGACCCTCAGATTGTCTTCAACTCTTAGTTTTAGTTCTCAAGGATCTTCATGTCAATCTAATATAACACTTCTAGTTTTACAGCGACCATGCACCCATTTACTTAGAAAGCTAACCAACGACATCTCAGGTATGCAAGATAATTGTTGTTTCAGTCAACAAAGTGATCTAAATGAGAGAAAAGGGAACTCTAATTAGAGATACCTGAGGTAAGAACTCTCTTGCTAGGTCCAGAGCCTTTCTGTAGGCAGCATCCCCGTCTTTGTTCTGTTCTAGAACATGGCTGATCAAGCCCACTGCCTTGGCTTCTTGGCCATCGAGCACACGTGCTGAGAAGATGAGCTCCTTGGCCAGGGATATCCCAATGGCACGTGGCAATCGCTGCGTCCCCCCTGATGGGTGAGAGAGAGAGAAGGCAGGCAATGCATTGATGTCTTTTCATTTTAATGCTTCTTTTATTACAAAAATAAGCCAGAGCAAGAAGTTGATATCTCAATGTTAGTAACTGCAAAATTACTTCAAACCAAAATCTAATTTCTTAATTCATGCATAAAATTAATAACACCAAGAAAGCACTTGAGAATCTTACATCATTCTTAAGTGATTTGGGCACTGAATATTACCCACCACATGGCTGATGTATCCCTGAATCCCACCCACAACTGTCGCCGTGTCAGTAACCACACTATGAACAGCAGTGGACAAGCAATAACGTCATTTAAGTCCAGTGACCAGACATGCAGAGTTCTATCAGGCTTGGCATTTTCCTTTCAGCTTAGATAAAACTTAACAAATTCTGAGAAATTCAACTCATATACTTTTCAGGAATCCTTTATGGTGAATAAATTATAAACTAATTTTAATTTAATAAAAATAAAAAGACAATTATTCATAAAAGTCGACTTTGTCCTGGTAGTGCTTCTTTTCTCAGTGCAAGTCCTAATAGTCTCTACTAGTCCTCCTCTTTGAAAGACACTCTCTCACACACAAACACGCCCTCCTTCCAGCTGTTGGGGAAAACCCACTCAGTGTGGAGTCAGAAGCCATGCATTTTAATCAAAACCACTCTGAGATACCTTCTCACTCAAGTTAGGATGGCTAATATCCAAAAGACTTAGAATGGCAAATGTTGGCGAGGATGCAGAGAAAAGGGAACCCTCCTACACTGTTGGTGGGACTGCAAAGCGGTGCAGCCTTTATGGAAAATGGTGTGGAGGTTCCTCAAACAATTACAGATAGATCTACCATATGACCCAGCTATTCCACTGCTGGGAATATACCCAGAGGAATGGAAATCATCATGTCAAAGGGATACCTGTACTCCCACGTTTATTGCAGCGCTATTTACAACAGCCAAGAGTTGGAACCAGCCCACATGTCCATCATCAGATGAGTAGATAAGGAAAATGTGGTATATCTACACAATGGAATACTACTGTGCTAACAAATAAAATAAAATTTTTCCATTCGCAGCAACACAAATATACTTAGAGAAAATTATATTAAGTGAAAAAGCCAGGAACAGAAAGAGAAATACTGTTTGTTCTCACTTATTTGTGGAAGCTAATAAAAATAAATAAATATACAAACAAATAAATAGGGCGAGGGGGAAGAAGACACAACAATCACAACAATCCCTAGAACTTATTAAGACAAGTGAACAGATATGATGTTGATGGGGTGGGGGGAGGGGGGAGGAATTGGTAAAGGGACATGAAAATCACCTACATTATATATTGATAGATTAAAATTTTTTAAAAAGGAATACATTTTTTAAAATTTAGATTAAATTAAAAAAAAAAAAAATAGAAGCCATGCATTTCATTTTCACTTTGCCACTTACTACCTGGAGACTTCGGGAGATGACTAACTCTTCAACTCCAAGGGAATACAGTGGCTTATTAGCATGATTTAGGGTAAACCTAGCACAGAGCCGTTTTGTAGCAAAAGATACCCCTTTTGTTGAAGACTGCTTAACTCATTAGATCCACCTATCTATGCACTACAATATCTTCTATTGATGAGGCCAGGATCTCATTAAATAGAAAGTTGGACAAAAGCAGGCAATACAGGTCTAATTTCAATTTCTATCAATTAGAATATGAAAACAGATGCAACATTAGGGGCCGTCTAAATCTTACCCTTCAAATGGCTGCCAAACTGCTCAGCGCACTTGTGGCCAGGAGGCAGCGGAGGAGCTGACTGCCCAGTTTTGGAGGAAAAAAGCATTCTGACAGTCCACTGTGCACACAGCTCACTGGGTTTCATCTGACCCACAAAGTTTCAAGGTTTTATTTCTACATCAGTTACCAACATGTAAAAACTGGACAGGTGATAATATCCAGCAACCTATCTCTACCTGGAAGTCAGCTGCAGCTGCACCACTCAGATGCAGTGCTCTCCAGTTTGCCACAGTCTCCACCACACTCTATTACTTTAATACTTCAGACTGAGAAGTTTTGCTTTCCTTTCAGAGGAAAGCAAAATCTTTTTTTATTCACATCTCTATGAGAAGTGGAAAAAATACAAAGACTGTAAGTTTCAAGAAGGCATATTTCCCTTCAGCAATGAAATATTCCAACATGTTTAACAGAATATGCCTGAGTTGAAAGAACAGAACTTAAGATGCTACTGTTAAACAAAACATATTAAGAATCATGACTAGTATTTAGAAAATACGCATAATTGTAAACAATGATGTTGCTCAGTGTAGAAAAGACAGGTGTGAGAACGTAGGGGACAAGCTGCATGAAAAAGACAAGTCATAGAACACAAATATAAGTAATATAACCCAGATATAACTGTATGCACTCATGGAGCTGTTGAAAATGTGGATGAGACTGAAGATCTTAATGGATATAGTATTCACGATAAGCACAACATTAGAAAATGATTCTTTAGTGTGTTCTGTGAAAAGTTTAATGTAGAGTGGTCAAAATGAACAAACGTGACCCTCGTTTAAAACAAAAACGTTGGGGCCGGCCCGGTGGTGCAATGGAGAGTGCGCCGCTTGGGAGTGTGGCGGCGCTCCTGCTGAGGGTTCGGATCCCATGTGGAGACCAGTTCCCGCTCACTGGCTGAGCGCGGTGCGGGCGCAACACCGAGGGTTGCGATCCCGTTACCAGTCAGTAAAAAAGACAAAAAGGAAAAAACAAAAACAAAACAAAAAAAAACGTTGGGAATTCCGGTCAAGATAGTGGAATAGACAGTCCCCAGCATCACTCTGTCCCACAAATCAATGAATTTACAACTATAAAAATGTAACAACAGCCAAAAAAAAAAACGTTGGGAATTCCGGTCAAGATAGTGGAATAGACAATCCCCAGCATCACTCTGTCCCACAAATCAATGAATTTACAACTATAAAAATGTAACAACAGCCAAGCTGGGGCCAGTGGAGCTCAGGGGAAGAGGAGTAGAGACCTATAGAGCTCATGAAGGCGGGAGAAGCCACGATGAGAGAAAGAAAAAGCTGCTTGGGGTGTTTCAGGCCATGGCCGCTTTAATGCTGGAACTGCAGAGTGCATGAAGCAGGAGCCGCAGCTGTGCCCTTTGGGTGGAGTTGCTTGGAGGCGGCAGGGGAGAAGAGGGCCCCCAGGACAGCAGAACCACTAATAGGGTTCCCGTGGACCCACGCAGGAGCGAGAATTCAGAACAGCTGAAAAAGGGGAGCCATTCAGAGGCCGGTAAGTCATCACAAAGTACCAGTGCAGGGCCTGTCCCATGGGAAGTGTTTGGAGCACAGGCAGTAGGGGAGACAGGCCCACTGGGGAAACACTGGGGAACAGCAAGGACAGGTGATCTGCACCCCAGTCAGCACAGGACCACTCCGAGGAGACTGGTCAGGAATGCAGAATTGCATGGAGTGCAGTTTGATGAAAAGATTCAGGCCCAGATCAGAGTTTCTACACAAACCGGGTGCACCAGGTCTCTGGAGAGCTGAAGTACCTATAAGGTCAACCATTAAATCCTGAGCTGCACAAAAAGTCTTCCCTAGGGAAACAACAGCAAAGCAGCAATTTAGCTCAACACAGCTCAAGGAGAGCCGAAGTACCTATAAGGTCAACCATTAAATCCTGAGCTGCACAAAAAGTCTTCCCTAGGGAAACAACAGCAAAGCAGCAATTTAGCTCAACACAGCTCAAGTACTGGTTCCCCCATCTTAGAAGTAAGCAAAGGACAAAAAATTAGTTCCAGCCCAGGCACACCACTGGTGCCTTGGGGCCCGCCAGGGGACCTGAGGTATGGAGCCAGGGACTGGACCCCCCACTCACAACCAGGCACACTGCCTGTGCCAATGAGCATGCCAAAAAAATCACCTCCATGTGGGTGGCCCACCACAGCCACCACGGTAACCACAGCTGCCAAAAAAGTGGCTAGATGTCACAACCACCGCATAGATGGTTTGTCAGCCACTAAAGTGCACTGACACAAGGACAGTCACCAGCAGAGATCAAAGAAAAGAACAGGATGTCTCTCTCTCCACAAAGAGCATTCCAGAGTGACAGAAGCATCTGCTCTATGATAATATTGGGGGACCTGAACACACCTTTCAGTATTGGACAGATTATCTAGGCAACAAATCAAAAGAGTAACCACTAATCTTTCAGAGGGAGAGAAGAAATCTAGGGTAATCAGTGGTGGTGGCAGGGAGGGAGAGTCGGATAGGGAGAGATTGGACAAGGACATAAAGAATAAGTATGATTTGTAACAATATACATACTAGTAATATTTATTTGATCAACATATGTCAACATCGAATCCCAAAAACATGTATAATCAATTATGATTCAAAAATAAATAAATTTAAAAAAATAAAAAGAACTTTTAACATAAAAAATAAAAAATAAAAATAAAATAAAATAAAAATGTTGCATTTTTTATTCAACTGAAACATTTTGCTAGTCCATGAAGCTTATGCCCTTTCATCATGTCCTTCCACTTACTGTATCATTCTCCAGGAATGAGGATTTTGCAAAAATTTAACAAAGTACTGGTAGCATAGGTTGTAACTAACATTATAAAACAGATCCACTTCCTTGAGCAGAATGGCACACAGCACCCTGCTCTGCTCCAAGAACTGGATGCTCAACCCAAGAGTCTGCTGGAGGCTAAAGAGAGCTTTCGTATCCATTGAAAAGAACACATTATAAAATCCAAGGGAAAACCCTCAACTTGGTTTACTGTGTAACACTGTAGCCAAGACTTATCCTATCTGGGTGACATCACAAGGTACTCTAGGTATCTATGTAAGTGCAATCACTTGTATTTGTCTTTTTGTGACTAGCTAATTTCACTTAACATATCTTCAAGGCTCATCCATGTTGTAGCACGTGTCAGAAATTCATTCCTTTTTAAGGCTGAATAACATCCCACTGCACATACACACCTA